GTGTACAATTACTTAAAATATAATATGTAAACAGTCTTCTTTTTCACACTATGTAGAGATCAAGAATATTCTTTTGACAGCAGTCAGAGCTACAATATCCATTTCTCACTATTCTCAACGTTGGCCAGGCACAGTGGCTCAGCACTTTGGGAGGCTGAGGCAGGCAGATCACTTGAGGTCAGGAGTTCAAGACCTGCCTGGCCAACATGGTGAAACCCTGTCCCTACTAAAAGTACAAAAATTAGCCAGGCATGGTGGCATGCACCTGTAATCCCAGCTGCATCGGAGGCTGAGGCAGGAGAATCACCTGAACCTGGGAGCCAGAGGTTGCAGTGAGCTGAGATCCCACCACTGCACTCCAGCCTGGGCAACAAGATCTCAAAAAAAAGAGTCCACTCATGTCCTAATGTTAACTGTTGCAAATGAAGAGTCTACCTTAACTACACAGAACTAAAACTTCCCAAAAAAATTAATTCACCCCTAAACTGTTACTCTTATTAATATGTGCCAATACTTTTTTATTCCAGTGCAAATTATTTTAAAAGAATGAAACTACTAATACCTCTTCTGCAACCAATGAAAAAAATTCAGAAAATGAGGGGAAAGGTGAATAGTCAAGTCCAATATACTAATTTCACCTTTATCAACATATGAAAGTATTTTACATTAGTGAATGCATATATTTAATACTAAGAGAATCACCAACTGTGGGCCAAAATACTTTTCACACCTATGGAAGAAGGTACATGTGGTAGTAACACACCCTATATAAAAGACAACATTATCAGTTTGCTCAGCAAATCCTTACCAATTTAAGGTTAGTCTAACCTCAACATTATTCTGATAGCAACTGCATTAATTTCAAAGCTACCAGATAGAAAGCCATTGTAAAACAGAACTTACTGACCCCAATCTCACAAATTTCCTAAGTCACTATCTTCAGAACAAATCCTAACATCTTTTCTTAATGAATTTGGACCACAAAATGAATTCTTCAATGCTGACTTTGAAAATCAAGTTTAACAGAAAAAATGAAGAAAAAGGGAACAAAAGGAAGAACTAATGGGTTCTATATAATAAAACTTCAGAACTGTTTGTTGAACCAAATGGTTTCTACAGGGAAAAAAATACATTTCTTAAGCTATGTTAATATCACATTTTCTGGAAGCTAAATCTTTGTAGTATGACAGAGGCTACACATTTCAATTAAGCAGAAAACTGTCATATGCATGCAACACTTCTACATTTCTCTTTACAAACTCTGAAGTCACACAGAATATCAATAATATAACTGATTTCCTAAGCTTTTGTCTTACTAAAAAGATTGAGATGAAAATTTAAAAATAGGACGTTTACTTCAAGTGAATTAATGTTAAAACTCTGTGAACTGAATTTCCCCTAACATACTCCTCCATTAAAAGTCACTGATGTGATTACTTCAGAAGTGGCTTAAAATATTTTTTTAAGTGTTACGCTATCACCAAATGAACAAACAGCAAATGGAAGCAAATTTCAAAATAACCTTAGAGAATAAGAATTGACTTCTTCACTTCCAAAAAGCAATTTCATAACACTAGGAAGTTTATATATTTTATGTAGTTATGAGAAAGCAGATATACTGTTCCATACAAAAATTAAAATATCACCAGTTGCCTTTCCCATGTTACTAAAAATAAAACTCTAAAAAGGTAATAAAGAAGCCTTTCTCTGTTATCTTCTAAGTTTAAAACGAAGATGGTCATACTTCACCATATTTTATTGTCTTTAATCATTTAGTATTTACTTAGAATATTATATTGTAAGCAATGTAAATCTGCATTGATGACTATACTGCTGTGCAAACTTTTAACTTGACAGCAATAAAATTCCTTTTTCCTCAAATAAACTGTACATTATTCCATTCAGTTGTGCTTTACTTTTAAATAAGCACTATGAAAAATGAAGCCTGTAAGTTAGGTCATCCAGTCATGTTTTTCAGAAAACATAACTTAGCAGACACAAACAACGTAAAATAAATATCGCAAAGAGTATTTTTTTTTAAACTCTCAGGATTAATTTTGATAATCACTTACCTTGAGGTAATTTAGGTGACTTCAATAGTCACTGTACTCTATACAAGTTAAAAGCATTCCCTGTGAAGATTAATATTTGAAAAGATGCAAATCTACCAAACAATAAAAACACAACAGAAGCGTAAAGTTTCCACATACCCTAAATGCACTAAATATTTCTATAGTCTCAAATTCAGCACTATATTGCAGACTAATGTTAAGTATAAAACCCTAGTAAGAAATTTTTAGAATTTAAGTTTGTGGTAATATTTAAAAACCGAATTATTGTCCTCAATTTTCCTTGGAGAAATAGCTTCATTATTAATCTTTCCTTATCAGATTAAAATACTCCAATCACTACTTTCATAAAGGAATTTAACTCTTCACAAGTTAGTTGCTGAAACACATACTACAACCTGCCAAAGTCAAAGTCTTGAATGATCATTGTAATCCCTTCCCACCCCAATAAACACAAAAATACTAATGAGAAAACAAGCAAACCAAGTATGTTGGAATATAAAAATTATTGGGAGTGCAAGTATCAAAAAAGCAAGCAATTGATTAACTTTCCTTACTGACTTTTTTTCATTATCAACTTTGGGTTCAATAAAACCACAACTCTAGAAATTATTAGTCATCTGACGCAGTATTTGATACTGCTTTCTATGCATATCATAACTAAAAGTACAGTTTTAGAGAAAGTTTTAAGTCACATAAATTTCATGTGTAGAATGCCACATACTCTGAAATCAAAGAAAATGCCAATCACGTCACAGCTCACACGTAAGAACCTGGTAAAATAATTTTAAGGTCTTAATAACCCAGATAATTTTAAATCAAGTGGGAAAAGTAATACTTTAAATGCTGTAAATGTATGTACTTTAAATGCTGAAAGAACTCTTGTCTCCCAGACAGCATTCCAGTAATTTCTTCAGAGACTTTTTAAAGTTACATAAACATTTCATTTTTTGTTCCTATATGTTTGGATGACTGTCGGTAATTCCTGCTAATAGAAGACTGCTTTGGAAGTCACAAAAGAATTTTTTCCATAATTATCTTCCCGGCAAGCGGGTCCAGTTCAGCCTTAGTAACATTTTCAATTAATGCAGACTTCAAACTTTGCAAATACTCTTTTAAAATATCACTTTTGACTTAACAGAAAACTAAATTTTGGGAAGCTACTGCTTTAGTTAAGTTTTATATTCATTTCAAAACGAAAACTTGGGCAAAATTAACTGCGCACATTTATATGCAGCTAACATACTCCAAGGGAATAAAACCTCTCCCGATATAAAACGTTTTCTTAAAAAAAAAAAAAAAAAAAAAAAAAAAAAAAAAAAAAATTCCCCACAATTTTTAGCAGGACATATAGACACTGTACTGTCACTCTACCTTTAAACAAAATGCAACTGATGTTTGCTAAGAAATGATTTTTATTAAAAGTACTCTGCTAGTACTTATGCAATGACATAATTTTAGCTAAATATTGTCCACCGCCACAATTCGTATGACCAAATTCACATTACCAAATTTTAGGCCTTGACAGAGCCTAAATGTTTCAGTCATTTCAGACCAATAACTTAATCCTGTTTTCACATATCTTACACTGGCCTACCAATAGCTCTCCATTCCTGTCAATACTTTCCATTCTGCAAAAGCAGGGCTCCATCCCCATCCTTAATGAAAATCAGTCTGTTGTACCTGAAACTGCAAAGATTAATGCTTTTCAACAACCACTAACTTTTGAAGCCCGAAGGCCTAACTTTTAGACACCTAAAGCTATACGCTGTTAAAATTCTTGAGCTTCTATCTTATTCAACAAGCTGACTCAGTAAATTTAATACACTGTATGAAAAAAGCTAACGTATCTACATTCTAAAGCTGGAGTAAACCCCTCTTGCTGGCATTTTGGATATCAGCTGGTAAAATACACTTGACATTCTACACAAACCAGTAAAATTAACAATACCAAAAAGTGTCAGAGGACCTGAAACCTAAAAAAGGTGAGCAGCAATTCTAGCATCACAACAATACTTAAATTTCAAGCATGAACTGAAGTTTTAACTCTGCAATCTTCACTTGCTACACATAATACCCTTGAACCTACACGACATTGTCATATGGGATCAAAAACTACTCAATCTCCATTCTATGTCTATGACAAGAGCACCGAACATTAAATGCTACTGAAGTGCAAATTTCAAGCCCTATCCTACATCACCCCATAGGGAGAGAAAAAGGTAAATATAACAAAGATCTAGTAAGAACGCCTTATAAGGTATATTACGGCACTATTGATTTCAAACTACAAAACTTCTAAATACAGTTCAAAGTTGTAAATAACTTAAGTTTAAACATTAACAAAACTACTTTTTGCCCTCAACGTGCACCATATATACTGAAAATGATTCTGCTTCTAAAGTTATGCAAATCAGTCATATTTTAAAAGAATCTATCAATGCAACCCAGGAAACTAAAACAATCACTGCAAGATTCTGATGCAATATGCGTACGTGCAACACTAATTTTCATTTTATTCTCATCTATTACACCCTTGGTCTAGGGCCTAAGCCAAGATTTAATCGAAATATGCTCAACCTCAAAGCGTCTACTTTTTTGTTCATTTAGGAGACCGACTACCGAGCTCGCTAATCAACTAACAGTGTACTGTATTCTGTATTAACGGACAATAGCCCTCAGGAAGAGACCACATAGACAGTCTAAGAAAGCAATCGGTGCCTTGACACTTGCAACCAGGCAAGAGTTCCGTCTAGCCGAACACACCCTAGGTTGAACACACAGAAGAGAAACACAAATTATATGACCTAACAACCTGACCAGGGTTAAATGTTATAGTCACCCAAACTACGGACATTTTCGCATCTGTCTACTCCCACGTTCTAAGAGAGTGACAGAAAGGCAAAGAGGAGCAGCCGCAGAAATGGATACAGGTCAAGTCTAAGTCGAATCCATCCTCTTGATATCTCCTTTTGTTTCTGCTAACGATCTCTTTGATGATGGCTGTCATGTCTGGGAGCCTGTGGCTGAAGAAAAAGGAGGAGATAGATGGCAGAAGCTGCTGGTGGCGGGGCTTCTTCTGCAGGATGGAAATGGCTCTGGACTTGGCGGTAGCTGATGCCCCTCGCTCTGCTGCCGCTTGGCTCTGGACCGCAGCCGGGTAATGGCTGCTGCGACGGCTGCTGGATGGTTGCAGCGACTGGGCCTGCTTCTCCTCAGCAGCCAGAGGCCTGGCAGCGGCGGCAGCGGAATGGGGAGAAGACGAATAATCCTCGGAACGGCTGCCTCCTCCGGCGGCCTCCGGAGCCCGGGCCACGGGGGGTGCGGCGGCGGCGGAGGGGAGGTTTAAAACCGGCCCGGGTCCCTGGATGTGCCGCCGCCGCCGCCGCCGTGTTGGAGGCAGTAGAAGGGGAGAGACCAACTCTCCGGCGTTCCCAGCCCTGGAAATGGTGACAGGCGACTCAGACCCCCTCCTCGGAGCTGCAGCCGCCGCGGCCGCCGCCGCCGCCGCCGCCGCCGCCGCCGCCGCTTTTCCCCCCCGCTCCAGGAGCGGGAGGTGCCGCCGCCGCCGCCGCGCCTCAGCCGGCTCCCGCCCGAGCCCACGGCTTCCACCTTCCCTTTCAGGAGAAGCCAAGGAAGAGGCTGCACGGTTAGAAGAGACGAAGAGGAGGCGAGAAACGCCGCCGCTGCCGCCGCCGCAGGCCGGCCGGCTCCCCGAGGGCGCTGCCCCCGCGGCTGCTCACAGGCGCTGAGAGGGGCTCCGGGCCGCGGCCGCCGCCGTCTCTCATCTCCCTCGCCTGAGCCCGGCCTCGCCTCACAGCGGCTCAACTCTCAAACTTCCATCATGGCTGCAGCTTCCGAGCGGAGAGAACTGAGCGCAGTCGCGTCCCGGCGCCCGAGCCCGTATCCTGCCGCAGTGCACAAAGAGTCCCGCCACATCACCGTCCGCCGGCCTGCCCGCCCCCTCCGCCGCCGCGCCGGGAGACCTGGCGCCTCCGGAGACCGAAGGGAGGCGGGTGGCGAGCGAGAGGCCGACGGGACCGTGCCGGGGGAGGGAAAGGCACCACCGGGGCGGTAGGAGGGGGCAGGAGCTGAAGCCCCAGGTGAGAGGGCAGAGCCCCCAAGCCGCAGGCTCTACTGAGCATGCCCAGTGTGGCTGCAGGGGGCTAGCTCTGGTCGGTTCCGAGCCGCCCGCCCGCAGCTGCACTTGCCGCGGCTGCTTTTGCAGCAACGCTAGGCGAGGATAACGAGCTAAACCTCGGCCTCTGCCCAGAAACGCAGCCGGAGGCAGGGTAGGCTGTTGCGGGGCGGGGGAGGAGGACTGATGATGAAAGCTGAGATGGGTGCGTAGAGCAGTGTCACTGACTCGAGTCTGAGGTTACCTGTGCACAGGTGGAAAGAACCAGGTGGCCACACTAGTCAGTTTATAGGGAAATGCAGAATACCCTCCCCGCCCCCCGTCTCTGCCCCTGGATTTCCGCGGCGTGACCTCCATTCGCTCTCTCCTTTTGCACCGTTGTCGGATCACAATCCTTCGCAGAGATTTGACTGTAGCAGTCTTTGCCTAGATATCTCCCCCACACCCCCCCGTGTCCTCAAGGTGTCAGTCTTAGCACAAAGAGCAACCTGCTATTGTGTCTCTACCGTGTATCACCTCATCCGGCTCCCTTGCAGCTCCCCACCTCTCGCTTCCCCTGGTAACGGCTCGTTTGCCCTACAAATGAAAGCTCTCAGCCGACCGTGCTGAACGTGAACACATCGCCCTTGAATTTCCACGGCCCAAAGGGCACCTATTTAAATGAACTGCACGGGGATCCCCGTCAGTGGGACGCACCCCGCAGCACTCTCCTGAGCCCGCTCCGGTGCCCCCAGGATAGTCGAGCATCTTTTCCCATCAGACAGACTCCAACTCAGTTCGCCGCGTCGGACTCCAGCTCGGTCCTTAGAGACCGCCTAGCCCCGCCCCTTCTTGGCCGCCGTGAAAACCCGGCAGGATGGATCGCCCGGGGCCAGGCTCCACGCGCCCCGGCCAGACCGTGCGCGTTCGGGGTTACCGGGCCGAGTGGAAAGTACGGAACGGTAAGAAGCTGCAGCCCAGCGAGTGGGCGGAGCGAGGAGACCTAGGAGGCTTCAAAAGGGGGTGGAAGGATACATGGGCCTCAGTCGGAACTACTTTTCGAAGGAGGTCACGTGAGTTCCTAGTTGGGGAACTTTCCAAATTCCCACTCCCCAGTGATACCTCCGGAGGCAACCACTCTTCCTTTGCTCAGGGTGCTCTCGCCGGGTGCAGGCAGCGGGACCCCGGCCTTTCCCTCGCCGCGGCGGAAACGGGGGTTCGGACGAGCCTTCCGAAGGAGCGCTGTCGGGGCTGGCGCTTGGGGAGCTGGTTACACAAGCACCCACATACAAACACGTGCCCCCGCCTCCCCGCCTGCTGGCTGCCGCCGATTCTTACGGAACGCGGGGAGAATCCCCAAGCTGGTCCCTTGCCTGCTACCCTAAGTTCCCAAGCTGGTCCCTTGCCTGCTACTCCTTGCCTGCTACCCTAAGAGCAAGCCAAAGGACCGAGACCTGAGACTCTGCTCTAGGTCGACCTACACTGCGCCTTCCCAAATGTGGGAAAAGGAGCTGGGCGCTAGGGGTCTCGGTCCTCCGCCTGGCTGATGCCCTGCCCCGTAGGACGAACCCTTTGCTTCTGTGCTCGCGGGTTATCTCCTGCTGCAGCCCGGAGCTTGCATTCTCCGTTGTTGCAACAGACGTCGAGTCACTACCCCTGAGCTGGTGAGCGTGCCCCACCTACTGTAGACTCAGCTAAGTGACTTATCTGGTCTGAGAACCTACTCCATGGCGGTCAGCCCAGAACTAACCTGTCAAGTCTGCTTGCAGCCCCGATTGGGCTGACCTGTCGCCGTGAGAGAGCTGGTTCAAAAATGCTGAGAATTGGATCGCACTCATTTTACTTCGCACTCCAGCAGTCAAGGACTACAAAGCAAGTAGTCGACCCGCTTAAAGAGAATGAGCATCAACACCCGTCTAGGATATTATTGTTTTTTCATTTCCCTTAGGAAGTAGAACTCCAAATGACAATATGAGTCAAAAAATATCTAACGAGACCTAGGTTGAAGAACAGAATTGTTTTTCAAAATTTGAGAGAGTGCGAATCAATCTGCATGTGTGTTCAGTAATTGTGAGTAGGTGCCTAGGAAAGTCTGAAGAGGATTTATGCTGTATTTGAGAAAGAGGACTGTATAATGTGCACGTAGTAGTTGCAGGCAACCTCTGAAAACTAGACACCCCAAGAGACCTAGCGCAGAAAGCCACAGGCCATTACCTAACTCCGGGACTACTAATTAAACCTGGACTATTTACAGTGTTCTTAGAGATCTCTGAGGCTCCATAAAACTTTGCACTTATATACAGCATTTAAGATAGCTCTGCAGGAGTTCACAACCTGCTGAAGCTTCAGTGTTGATATTTATTGAAGTTTGGTTTTGTGCATACTTCTGGTCAGCTCGGGAAAGCCAAGGACACAGGGGAAAAGGAAATGGAAAGCAACCAGAAAAGAATAAGAGAAAGGCCTCCAGTTGGTTTCCAAAGATGCAGATTCTGTCCACATAGCCTAGAGTGAACTACAGATTTCATTATTTTACAAATAACCAAGGATAAGGAGTTCATGATGTCTAGGTGTTCTATTAGATTGCATGGTAAAAAACGGCTGTGCTAGCCGGGCACGGTGGCTCAAGCCTGTAATCCCAGCACTTTGGGAGGCTGAGGCGGGTGGATCACGAGGTCGAGAGATCAAGACCATCCTGGTCAACAAGGTGAAACCCCGTCTCTACTAAAAATACAAAACATTAGCTGGGCATGGTGGTGTGTGCCTGTAATCCCAGCTACTCAGGAGGCTGAGGCAGGAGAATTGCCTGAACCCAGGAGGCGGAGGTTGCGGTGAGCCGAGATCGCGCCATTGCACTCCAGCCTGGGTAACAAGAGTGAAACTCTGTCTCCAAAAAAAAAAAAAAAAAAAAAAAAAACGGCTGTGCTTATCAACTAGCGTGTGGTAGAAAAAGGCGAAATGAAGATGAACCTTTAAAAGGGGAGTAGATTAGGGAAGGGTAAAATGTCTCACATTTGTTTCTCAGGTTGCTGATCTTGTCCCCAGAGTCCCTGTTATTAGCATTGCCCTACCCTGCCCCTCCCCTCAAGCCTACCCTAAGTGACAATTAATATCATAGCATTTGAGAACCTCTGAAATCCGCTTTCATGGAAGAAAATGAAACAAGGTGCATTCCTATTCCTGGTGTGAGAGGATCCTCTTCGATTCCATGGCAGAGTTACTCTGGAGCAGAGAGGATTTGCATCACCAGCATTAAAGTGCTGGAATATGAGACCAGCCTATAAGTACTTCCATCTGGCTAAAGAAAAAAATGGAAAATGGTTTGCTGCTTCTCTAAACATCAGGTCCCTCTACTTCTCTCTAGTGGTATATGAAAGGATCATCAATGTTGGCAGATATTTGGCCATCCTGACAGCAACATCAGGTGGTTATTAGAAGCTGCTGAATAAAATCCTCCTCCTGTACCTAGTGTTTCTGAAAGAAATACTGATGCATCCTTTTCCAATTTTTTTGTTTTTCTTTACCTTTCTCCCTAAATGGCTGGCTCTATCTAAAGTAAAGAAAGTTTCAAAAATACATATATTTTTAAGTTCAATTGAAAATACCTGCTTGGCTGTACATATATTACAATACACTGGTCTCCAAGCACTTCAGTTCTTTACCTGTCTGGATTCAGAACCAGAATGCCATAGTGAGAAGTAGAAGCTTGTAACAAAGGGAGAATTATATAAAGCTTCAGGATGACTACGTAGAATAATTAGTGAGCATGATAAACCAGCTTTAATTACAGTTTCTAACAGCTAATTCCAAAACTCTATTTTTACTAAGCCAAAATAATGTCCAAGTAAACTTTCTTATTTTCTTTGATAAGCAAAATGACCAGCAACTTGATGTGGATAATATAAATACGTGATGTGCTCTTTGTAGGTCCTCTGTTAAAATGTCTTTTGTGTAAACACTCTGATTGTTATAGTGCCTTTCTCGTCTCCCACACACTGACCTTTCAAAAAGGGATCTAACTCAATGGCTTTAATTTTTAAACAATCTTCTCTATTTCTGTTTACTGTTTTATAAAAATATAATAATCATTGGATTGAATTTAAGCCCATTCTGCCAAGGGTCTTGGCAGAGGTTTCCCCATCATTTCATTTATCCTAATAACAACCATTATTGTTATTTCAATAAGGATAATTTTCTGAAGACATTCTCCAAAAGGCGATACTGTGGGTCATACAAGGAACTACATTCTAAAAGAGAATTTTCCATTATTGTCTACAAGCTTCCCATGTCCCAAATCTCTCCTGAAGCTATTTCAGATGGCACGGTGTCATCTTTCACATCTTGTTAGAGAGATGTGCTGTATGAAATCATCATTCTCAGAAAAATAAGGGTTTAGTTGGTTGCTCCTGAGAACCACAGAGCAGACCAAGGAATCGCTGTGTCCAAGTGACATTCAGAAATTTTGTCTTAGACCATGGAGCAATGAAAATAAAAAAGACCTAACATGACAAGACAGCTTTGACTGTATTAGTCTCCAAGCTAACATTGGCTACCAGTTATTCCCCCTAATACTAACTAACTCTAGCCATGTGGAACACATAGTTTGCTTTTCAGACCTTCCAATAATAGTAAAAGGTAATTCCCATATACTAGCAAATGTTGGGACACCTACCAGGTGCTTCATAGAATAGCCCAGAATTTTTTTTTTTTTTTGAGATGGAGTTTTTCTTTGTTCCTGATGATCTCAGCTCACTGCAACCTCTGCAGAATAGCCCAAATTTGTCTAGTAGAAGGACACTAAGAAGGAGCCAAGACCCTGCTCTGCCTAACTCCTACAATTTTCCTCTTCAAAACATCCTTCTGGCCTCTGAGGCATCACAAAAAAAGCACCTTTTTCAAAGAGAAAATGCATGGGACAGATAGCCCTGGACCATGAAAAAAGGCAGACTGACAGCTTATCTGCTTTTTCTTTATTTCTTTTCCCTTATTAAGACTCCACACTCCATTTAAAGGATCTTTTTTGTCCATCCTCTTGAGGGTAGGGAATATTATCTTGATTCATTTATTTAATGATTTAATCAACAAATATTTGGGAGCCTATTATGTGGCAGTATTGTTCTAAGCTCTATGGACAGAGCAGTGACTACTATGGCATATAGTGTTCACCGTCATGGAATTTAGTCTGCACTGAAAACTTGACTTCTTTGGCTGACATTGTTACAACCTCTTCCCGGCCCACAGAGAAAAGGTAAAGCAATAAAAATACCCTGACATTTGATAATTGTTTTGTTTTGTTTTTGAGACAGAATCTCACTCCATTGCCCAGGCTGGAGTGCAGTGGCATGATCTCAGCTCACTGAAACCTCTGTTTTCAGCCTCTGGAGTAGCTGGGATGACAGGCATGTGCCACCATGCCTGGCTAATTTTTTGTATTTTTAGTAGGGATGGGTTTTTGCCATGTTGGCCAGGCTGGTCTTGAACTCCTGGCCTCAAGGGATCATCCTGCCTCTGCTTCCCAAAGTGCTGAGCTTACAGGCATGAGTCACTGCACCTGGCTGGGTAATTGTTTTCAGTTATCTATTGCTGCATAACAAATTACCTTGAAACTTTCTGCTTTCTTCCTCTTGGGATGCAGGCACTGTGTAAAGCATATTGGGCTGGACCACTGAATGATGAGCAACCACAGCAAGAAAGGAGTTCTTAACCATTTTAGCCACTTTAACTGAGATCCCAGACATGTTGGAAGCCATCTTGGACATTCCAGACCCAGCCAGACTCATCCCTAAATAAAGCACATGTCTGACCCAAACTGTTATCATGGGGGCCACTTAAAACAGTGGCTCAAAACAATTACCACCATTTATTTTCTCACAATTCTGCAACTGGGGAAGGCCACGGCTGGGCAGGTTGGCTCCCCCATGACATCAGTTAGGGTCAGACATGCTTTACTCAGCAGTGAATTTGCTTGGGTCTGGAATATCCAAGATGGTTTCCTGCATGCCTGGGACCTCAGCTGGAGTAGCTAAAAAATGTTTAGGAGTCTCCTTTCTTGGTGTGGTTGCTCATTATTCAGTGGTCCAGCCCAATCTTCTTTACACAGTGCCTGGATCCCAAGAAGAATACAGCAGAAACAACAGGGTCTCTTAAATCCTGGTTCAGAAGTCCCAGAATGTCACTTCCACTGCATTCTCTTGGCCAAGCAAGTCACAAGGACAGCCCAGATTCAAAAAGAAAGGAAAGAGACTCTATTCCTTGATGGAAGTAGTGGCTGGGATAAAAGAATTTGTTGCCAGTCAATTTGGGGAACAGTCTGTCATAATCCATCCTCCAGCTATAACAGTATCTGTATGTACATATGTGGACACACACACACACACACCCCCCCCCATACAGAATACACTCACTTCCTTTCTCCAGAACTATCATTCTGTATAGTATCTGTGTTAAGGTTCAGGATCTAGTAATACTAGACCCAGATGTGGATGAGGCATTTCAGACGTAGCTTCTCTTCATCTGGAGTCCTGTTAACTAAAAGACAAGTTACATATAC